GTACACACTCAGATTTTACTTGGAATGGAATATTAACCTACCGTTTACTGCATACTATACAATATACTCTAAAAACTGCCAACTTTTTAAACAGTATTTAAACATGGTCATGCAAAACATGTCATAAAAATATCTGGAAATTTTAAAATACTCCGTTCTGGACATGGACATTTTTAATGTAATAATCAATGTAATAATAATTATATTAATCATATAATAATAATTATATATAATTATATAATAAATAATAATATAGATATATGAATAATATAAATATGTTATATATTATATAATATAATATAACAACTATATAATAACATAATAATTATATAACATAATAATATTTTATATAATATATTTTAATATTTTTAGTCATGATTTCTTCATTTTTAAATCATTATTATTGTTCTTAATGGACTTTAAATTTGTATTTGTGTGTGCAATCTCTATTAAATGATTTGCAGAAATTCTTATCCAGTAATCACAAATGACTGAAAAATTCTTGAACAATTCATGGGTCAATAGGTGTTGGAAGCCTGGTCTTAAGCCTTTGAAGTCTGATCAAATTATGAATAAAAATTTTTTTTTAAAGATGTTGGCAGATACACTGAAAATAGAAGGTCAAGTTGAATGCATTGCATTGTGGGATGCAGTATCCCACACAGTATGCCCTTTTGTATGTTGCACATTTTGATAAATGTAGTAGGTCATCTGGGTATTCTGTGCATGCAAAAAATTTGCATACTACTGAATGCACAGTAAAGATACTGATAAAGTGGAGTGTGTAGTTAGCCATTAGCCACATATATACAGTCATTTCTTTTTTCATAAGATAATATGAAATTATTTTTATAATTTTAAATTTATTATAAAATATTTTATGATTTTACAACTCAACTGCACAGACAAATTGCGCTGTCAAACTCAGAAAACTACATAATCAATATCAGCAGGTATCCTGGAATAGATGTAGGGTTATAAATTTATATATGTCACTGATTCTACATTTGTTCATCATGTCCTTCAAACAGACTTGGCCTTTTCATTTAAGTGTATTGTTATGCTGCAATTGATTTTATGTTACATTGATTTTATGTTTCACCAGCCGGTACTTGTCTGAAATACTAGTGTAAACTGAGTGTGAATTTATGTATTTTCACAGGCTACAGACCGTGAGCTGGATCCTATCACCTACCAGATACAAAGCGGTGACCCGCAGCAGGTCTTCAACCTTTCACGAACGTAAGTTTTCATTAATAAATAAAACTCATCAATTAAGAATGTACAGATCTTGTATTACAATTCAGAATATTCTATTTGTTTGCACATCTTGAACAGCAACATTGACTCAGCCAATGGCGTGAGTTTAGGGACAGAAATATCTAGTACATATATGGCATATGGTCTATAAAGTACGTAGATCTGTGCCTCTCTCTGCATGAGAATCCCTCATTGGAGGAATGAAGACAAGACAAATGCACAAACAAGCTTACAGTGTGAACGTTTCTGGGAAAGAATGTGTGAGAATTTGAAAGGCTTTGTTTAATAGTAACATGTAGTTGGTTTATTAATGACACTTATGACTGTTGTTAGTAGTAACAAGAGAGAGTTATCAGAGCAGAGAGGCAGCGCTAGTGTTATATACATCTCATCTGTTCTTTTGTTTTCTGTATTTTCTTTTTTTGGCTCACCTCACCTAGTCTGTTCTCTGCTTTTGTGTCTTCTCATCATGCTTCATCTCATCGTGCTTTGCTGTGCCTTGCCTTGTCTAATTTCATCGGGTCTGGTCTTATCTCTTCTTATCATGTCTTTTCTTATCATTTATCTTCTCATCATTTCTCATCTCATCGGGTCTCTTCACATCTCGTATCACCTTTTATCTTTTTATGCTTCACTGCATCATCACTTCATCTGGTATTCTCTTCTCTTGTCTTGTCTTGTCTTGTCTTGTCTTGTCTTGTCTTGTCTTGTCTTGTCTTGTCCTGTCCTGTCCTGTCCTGTCCTCTCCTCTCCTCTCCTCTCCTCTGTCTTCTTCTGTCTCCTCTCCTTTGCTATGTCCTCTTCCTCCTCTCCTCTCCTCTCCTCTCCTCTCCTCTCCTCTGCTCTTCTCGCTATACGTCATCTTTCTTATGTTGTGTCATTTCTCTTTTCTCTATTCTTTTTTTCTCTTTTTATTGTGTTAGTTCTCATTTGGTTTCCTCTTCTGACTTTTTAAATTGCCTTGTCATCTTGCCTCATCTCGTCTCATCTCCTCTCATCTTCGAATCACATCTCATCTTATCTTGTCTCATCTTCATATCTCGTCTCATCTCATCTTGCCTCATCACATCTTCGTATCTTGTCTCATTACATCTCGTCTCATCTCATCTTCGTATCTCATCTCATCTTATCTCATATTGCCTCATCTCATCTCATCTTGTCTCATCACGTCTCATCTCATACTTGTATCTTGTCTCGTCTCATCTCATGTTGTCTCATCTCATCTTCATTTCACGTCTCATCTCATCTTGCCTCATCACACCTCATCTTATCTTGTCTCAACTTTTCTCATCTCATCATCATATCTTGTCTCATCTCATCTTCGTATCTCATCTAATCTTGTCTCATCTCGTCTCATCTCAACTTGCCTCATCACATCTTCTCATCTTGTCTCATTTCATCTTGTCTCATCTCATCTTCATATCTTGTCAGATCTAATCCCGTCTCATCTCATCTTGCCTCATTTCATCTTATCTCATCTTGTCTCATCATGTCTCATCTCATCTTGTCTCATCTCATCTCATCTCATCTTCGTGTCTCATCTCATCTTATCTCATCTTGCCTCATCTCGTCTCATCTCATCTTCGTGTATCATCTCATCTTATCTCATCTTGCCTCATCTCGTCTCATCTTGTCTCATTTAATCTCATCTCGTCTCATCTCATCTTCGTGTCTCATCTCATCTTGCCTCATCTCGTCTCATCTTATCTTGTCTCATCTCATCTTCGTATCTCATCTCATCTTGCCTCATCACATCTCATCTCATCTTATCTTGTCTCATCTTCATATCTCGCCTCACCTCATCTTGCCACATCACGTCTCCTCATCTTGTCTCATCTTCATATCACGTCTCATCTCATCTTGCCTCATCACATCTCATCTTATCTTGTCTCATCTTGTCTCATCTCATCTTCATATCTCATCTCATCTTGCCTCATCGCATCTCATCTTCATCACATCTCATCTCATCTTATCTTGTCTCATCTCATCTTCGTATCTTGTCTCATCTCACCTTTACTTGTCTTTTTGTGCCACAAATCATCTTTCTCATCTCGTTTAATTTGGTCTCTTCTCTTTTCACCTTATCTCCTCTCTATTCATTTGACCTTGCCTCATCTTGCTTCATCTCATCTTATCTTATCGCATCTTATCTCAACTTGTCTCTTCTAATTTCGTCAGATCTTTTCTAATCTCATGTGATCTGGTTTTCTTACTCTCTACGTCTCTTCTCTTCTCTTCTCTTCTCTTCTCTTCTCTTCTCTTCTCTTCTCTTCTCTTCTCTTCTCTTCTCTTCTCTTGATTAATATCATCAGTAATGTCACTGGTAAAATGTGGAGAGGTTTTGTGAGGTGACTGCTGAAATAAAACCCTCTTTCATTGATTTGTCTTACAAAGGATTTTTTTTCTGTTGAAGAAACAGCAAAGGCAGTTGAAGAGTCATTAAAAAGGGATGTTAAAATTTAAAGACTTTGCCTTGAATGCTATGTGGCCGGCAGAAGGTTTGTGAGGTTGAAAGAAAAGAGAATCCCAGTCACTGAAGTGTTTTATACGGCTGTTTCACAGGCTTCAGAGGACACATTCAATATCGCTTTTGTAGAGGTCAACTGAGGAGGAATATAATTCTACACACACACACACACACACACACACACACACAAACATGAGCAAGCAGCACAGCAGCCTGCTTCTTCTGCTGTGTGTGACTGCAATTTTAACAGGATCTTGTCTGTCCATCCTCATCCACCGCTTCCCCCCCACACACGTGTGAGCTCACTGTAGGATGAGCCTGATGATTCGCAGAAATCCTATTGGTCTACAAATGATAATGGCATCCCTGTGGCCGGTGGTTCAGCGTGGATGATCACAGATATTAGTTGTTGAATTGCACATGTAGATACCAATGTTTATTTACTATCTGCATTGTTTTAGCAGCTGGTTCAACAAAGGAATTATGCAAATAATGGTCACGACACAAACACACCCAAAAATGTAATCCTGAATACAATTTCCAAGGCACAGTTTCTGATCGTACAGGTTATTCTGTGTTCTGAGTACGTGTTCTACCTCATCATTATGAAAATAATCACAGTATTAAACAGATGGTTCAATTGAAAATTCTGTCATCATTTACTCACCCTCATGTTATTCTAAAAATTTTGTTTATGCTGATTTTTTTTTCTATATAATGAATGTGGAAGAGCTGTCATGATAAAAAAAATGACTAAAAGCATGTTAAAGTGTCATAAAAATAGTCTGTATGATTCATAACTCTGAATAGCTGCAATAGATTTGTATGTGGAACAGATGTTGTGCATTGACACTTTTGCTCTCAAATCTCATTTGTGCTATTTGAATATTAGCATATTCAGATTTGGTGCATCATGATTGGGTTATGCCCCACCTTACATAAAATCTCCTTCTGAAAAGAATCAAGGAGGTTTGAAGCAACTTAAAGAGTAAATGACAGAAATTTAAATTTGGGTAAAATGCTCATTTAATTTAGTTGACAAGATTCATCACTGTCCTCAATATAGACTAAACATAATTAGTTTTTTTGCTGGCTGTAATTTATTTTTTGTCCATTAAATTTTTGTCAGTTCAGTTTAAAGTAATTTATTGACATGATTGTGTTTACATACAGTATTGCCAAATAATTATACAGAATAATGACAATGACAATAACAACAAAAACAATAAAAACTTTATTAAGGTGCTAGTAATGAACAAAATCAAGAAAAAACATTTATCAAGGCATAATGAAGAAAAACAATACAGTAATATTATGTACAATTATGTTCTTTGCTTATATTGATCAAGGCAGTAGTTGGTTTCTGAGGGTGTGCAATATTCATTTTATTTTTTTCTCTCTACGTCCCTTCCCTGTTTGTCTCTGTCATTTTTAAATGACAGAAAATAAATCTAAAGATTATGAGAAGAAATATTTAAATAGAAAATTTAAAGAAAGTGTTATGTGTCTGTTCAGTATAGGTCTTCTGCTGCTGGCCAATCCTCTGGACAGAGAGACTATTGACCAGTATCGCCTCATCGTCACGGCATCTGACGGCCACCCAGGAGGGGTGAGACTGCACCCATCCCACAAAATCAGCACTATAACACTGACCGACAGCTGCTCTGATTCAAACGTCTGATCTCTTCACAACCTCGTTTCATATCTTTCATATAATGTTTTATGCCACATTCTCGTGTTGCTTTAAATGCATATTTTCACAAAAGCAACCACAAACAAAGCTGGAAAAAACTCTGTACTTCTATATAATTTGGTATTCATTCGTTTTTTTCCTTCTGCATAGTAATTACTGTCAAAAACTCCTCAAGGATGTTCTGTAATGAGACTCATCTTGTTTAAACACATTCACCTTTTTAAAAGAACATTTACTTGTAATATCAGCTTAGCTTCTCTAATGAGAGAATTTCAGTAAACAGAGAAACGCTGGAGTGCTAAATGACTGCATGAAGCTCATTTATCAAACACAGACTGATATCTGTAGAGCCGATGAAGAGGGAGTTTTCAAGGAAGACGGGCACGTTAAAAGCATTTTGAGACATAAGGACGTGCCTTCATCTTTCCCTGCGCAACATGACTGGGCAAAATGACTTTCATCTGGTCAAATAAGTCGATTAAATCATTTACATTTCAGATCATGGTCATAGAAAGTGCAAAGCGGTTAATTAATCAATGTAATTTACCTGACCTCCACATCTTAAAGCATGATAATGATATCTAATGTAATATTCAGTGCAGCTCACATTCTTGAGATCAAACAGGCTTCAGTGGGGTTCAGCACATTCGTATTGCACCTGTCCTTCAGTCTGTGTGTGTGTGTGTGTGTGTGTGTGTGTGTGTGTGTGTTTGATGGTGTTGATGCCTCTTGACAGAATTGTAGGAAAATAAATTGTAGTGCACCTGAACATGTTTTTGCCAAACAACAACTCCATCTATGACTACATAATTCCCTTTCCAGTTTTTTTTTTTTCCCCCTTTTTTTGGTGAATTAATTTTTCATGCACATCCCACTGGGATTTAAACTCTATATGCTGATCTTGACTGATCAGTTGAATTTATATTCATCACTGTGTGCTATTAAACTTTTAAGCCCCAGGAACTCAATTGCGTATGATTTAATTACATCTCTGCAAATGTGTTTCTGGAATAGAGTCAGAAACTAAATGGTGACACTATTTTATTTTTTTCCAGTGAAGTCATTTTCAATATTTAAAAAGGCAACAAATAAGACTGACAGACAGCAGCATTGTGAATGTCAGAGTGAATGCTGTGAAAGGTTCAGGGTTTGACAGCAAGTGCACACTGAACTCCAGGGTTCAGTAGAACTGTCAGGACTGTGCTTTTTGTAGGTTTATAGGCACAAACAAACAATTCCTCCCAAAATTTTTCTGCAAAGACCTTCATATGAATATTAAAGCATAAATGCTTTTATTTTTTAATTTAGTATTTCTAGTTTATTCTCTTTCCAAATTTGTTTTATTATTATATTATTAGTAGTATTAGTAGTATTTTTTAAATATTTTTTATAGAAAAATATTTAGGTTTTAGTGTTTTAGGGCTGCAGAAGTGAATGCTGGAACTAGTATCATTAAAAATATTTAATGGCATTTTATTTCTCAGCACAGTCTAGTGTTGTTGCTTTTTAGTTCCTTGAACATTAAACTAAACATTAAAACATAATATATTTTTTAATTTAACTCAAATTAATTAGCTAGTTTTCTTTTAGTTTTTATTTCTATTTTATTACCAATTTGTCTTTCTAATTTAGTTTAATTTTTTAGTTTTTAGTCAGGTGGGTTGTAAAGCTTTACAATATGCCATTTGCCAAACAGAAATAAATAAATAAATGGTATTATTATATTATTATTATTATTATTAATAAACTAAAATGAATTTGAATTAAATACATTTTATTTTATTTTTAATTTGGAGTCATGAAAGTATATGTTAGTTTAGCTTTAGTTTCCTGTTAATTTTTATTTGGATTTTGGTTAAGGACAATGCTTCATTTAATTTTTGTTAACACTGCCATAATCATAATCATGCTGCCATTCAACGATATTCTTACCAAAGATTTATTACCCTTACCAATCTCAAAAATCATTTATAAGATAATAAAATCATTTTGTTTCAGGACCAACAAGAATGTTGATCCAATAACTTGTCATTCTTATATATTTAATGAATTCCTGATGATATTTAATTAATCTGTCCTTATTTGTAGATTTCCACGGCCACTGTCAGCATTGTCATCACAGACGTTAATGACAACGATCCCAGCTTCGACCTCACTCTACTCAGAAACCTGACCGTGAGGGAGGAAGAGGCCAATGTATTCGTGGGTCAAGTCAGGGTAAGTTCCATGACAAAACATATCGATGACGTATCTTTATTTTGGTGAGTTTCGTGAGGTTCCCACATGCCGCACAGATCTTCAGACATCACTTTGTATTGTTCTCTAATTAAGTCATGGTAAATTAGAGTCATTAGTCACCTTACAGCCAGTCCCTGATGACTGCTTCTGTTCCGCCCTGCCAAGCGGTTGGATTTTTAATTAGCGTGTTTGATTAATCATGCTTTGGTTGGTTAGAAAGATAATCAGTGAAAGATGTGTCAGGCTTTCATTCACAATGCTGTGTTGTCATCACGCGTCTCTTTACCGCTCATTTGTTGCTCTGTGATGTCTTGATCACTGAGTTCGGTGCCGATGTGATTGACAGGCATAAGATGATGCGACAGTGCCTTTGTGCATCAATAAAATTGTGACTGAAATCATTTAGTGCGGGTTGACCTCATGTGGCATGATATTGTTTTCCAGAAGTAACAACTAAACAAATGAAATTTAGTTGTTTGTACAAGTTGGATCTTTCCCTATGAACTGTTCTCTTTGTTTTTTTCATCGTCTTTCTTTTCATTTCATGTTTTTTGTAGGTTTATAAGCACAAACAAACTAAAAAGTCCTCCCTAAATGATGTGCAAAAACCTTCATCTAGACATAATTAATAGTTGCGTAAATGCTTTTTAATTTAAATTGTATTGCTTTTAGTTTTTATTTTATTGTCAATCTCTCTTTCCAGTTTAGTTTTTGTTTTCATTCATTTATTTCTTTATTTATTTATGTTTTAGCTTTAGTGTTTTAGGGCTGCAAAAGTAAATGTCAAACTGGTATCATTAAAATATTAAATGGAATTACATTTTTTCAGCACAGCGTAGCGTTATTGCTTTTTAGTGTCTTAAAACCACATTAAAAAAGAATATTAATATATTTTTTAAATAAACTAAAATGTATTGTGATTTTTATTTCTATTTTATTATGATTACTTTGTCTTTCAAATTTAGTTTAGTTTTTGTTTTAGTTAGGCTGGTTCTAAAGCTGTCAATATAAAATACCATTTGTCATTTTTATTTTGTATTTTATTTTATCATTTGTTTATGTTTAATGAATGAATGTTTTAATGAATAAATAGGTTTTTTTTTTTAACTAAGATTAAATTGAGTAAAATTTAAATTAAATCACAGAGTCATGAGTTTAGTATGAATAAAACTGCCATTGAAATGATTTAGTGAGTGCTGTCCTCATATGGCATCATATTGTTTTTGTGAAGTAACTAAATAGCTAAAAATTAGTTTTTTGGATGTTGCTCAAGTCGGATCCCTCCCTCTGAGCTGTTCTCTCACTTTCCATCATCTTTCTTTTCATTTCATCATCCTCTCATGTTCTGTGTAGTCTGCCATGTTCACAACAAGCAGGTGCTCACCAAACTTTGAGGCCTTGCTCTCAAATTCACACACAGATCCCCGTGGAGATCAAAAACACCTGGATTCTTATTGTGCCGTGACAACAAACAAGCGTACACATACGGACACTTACTTCACACATCACAAATGCACATCAGCGTGTTCCCGCTCTACAGACACTTACAGCCATGTTGTTTGCCACAGGCTAACATGTCCAAAAGCCTTAAGATACTATTCACGCTGAGAGCTTCGAGCATTCTACAAAACAACCCATTTTAATAGGCCTTTTGACCTTGGGGACAAAATCTGTCTGCCTATTATATTATATTATATTATATTATATTATATTATATTATATTAATTATATTCAAGTTATGCATTACAGTTCAAATTGGTATTTTATATTACATAAAATAAAATACATTTCAAATAAATGCTGTTCTTTGGACTTTCTGTTGATCAAAGATTCCTGAAAAAAGGTATGATGGTTTTTAACAAAAATAATAAGTAGCAAAATCATCTTTTGGTTTGCAATCTATGAAGGTTGCAAGTGAATCATTCTCTGTGAACCAACTTCTCTGTAATATGAAATGTTTTATAATAAATAAATGAATTAATTAATTAATAAATAAATTTATGAATAATTGAATGAATAAATAAATAAACACTACCATTCACAAAACTGAGGTCAGTATTTTTTAATGAAATTAATACTTTTATTCAGTAAATTAAGTGACAGTAAAGACGTTTTTAATGTTTCAAATGATTTATATTTCAAATAAATATTCTTTTGAACCTTCTATTCAAAGAACCAGAAATAAAAATTCACAACTTCCACAAAGACATTAAGCAATGCAACTGTTTTCAACATAAAAATGATTCCATGAACAACAAATCAGCATATTAGAATGATTTCTGAAGGATCATGTGACACTGAAGACTGGAGTAATGATGCTGAAAATTCAGCTGCACATCACAGGAATAAATTACATTTTAAAATAGATTCACATAGAAAACAGTTTTTACTACATTTTTTGATCCAATAAATGCAGCCTTGCTGAACATAAGAGACTTGTTTCAAAACTGAAAAATCTTACAGAAATTAACTTTGTATATATCGATTGTTTCATTTTTAGAATCTGATTGATGAATATTGCACTATTCCGGTTATATAATGTAATAAGTATTTGATGTGCTATATTCCACCTAATATTTTAAACAGCATTTTGCGAATTCTTTCATATTTATTATACATGCATCTTTTATGAGCATTAGTGTTTGACTGTAAATAAACTAAATATACTTTTAAAGATTCATTTGTCATTTAAAATGAATAGCGAAGGCAAAAAAGGTGAATCAAAACTTATAATAATTGGTGAAATGTTTGATGGAATAGCAGTCAACAGTGACATTAGGAAACAGGTTTTTATTAATGTATTGTGTAGTGTTGTTTGTTTATTTATCGCTCTGTTTACATATTCATTCCATTAGTTAATTATTGAGGCGAGCAGATGCCATGTAAGTGTGCTGTCAGGACGTACTGCTGGTGAGAGGGCCACAGGCAGCACTTTCATTCCTCAGCGCTCAGATGTGGCTGTAATTTCTCAAGGCTCAGACATGCTCTTTTCATTTCACTTATTTCCATTCGCCCACATTTGGATTTTGGCCCTTCATCCCATCATCTTCCTGTCCCTCCTCTCATCTCTCTCTCTCTCTTCTCCCAGAGTCTGTGTCGTTCATGTCTCTAACCAGGCATGCTTCTCTAATAACCCCCCCAGTTATTCTTCCCATCTGCATCTGTAATTACTACAGGAAGGAATTATAGCAGGCACCTCTGAAGCCATTACAGCCGAGCTCTGCTCCCCTGCTCACATACAAATGAGCCGCTGTAACCACGCAGGAATTAAGATTAGTTCAGCAAGTCTTTATTTCTTTGCTCTAAAGAACTGGCTGCAATTATTATTATTATTATTATTATTATTATTATTATTATTATCATCAGTAGTAGTAGTAGTATTCTTTATTTTATTTATTTGTCCATTGTAAAGGCTGTGCTGTGGGTGCTTGGTAAAGGTGAAACCAAAATTAAATATATCCCCGATTTGAGTAACTTATCTTGCTGCTTTATTTTTATCTCAGTGTGTCTGACACCTTTGGGTCCCCGCAGCACTGGCTGGTGTCAGAGCGCCGTGGGTCCTAGTGACAGAATCTGGTCCGGGGCTGATCAACTAATCAGATTCCCTATGCTGCTTCTCTCTGGGGGTCCTGAGCTTTATTTATATACTTCTGAAACCTTTGAGATCAGTGTAGAATTTAATTCCTTGTGCCTCCCACATCAAAGAAAGACACCTGAAAGGTTCTCACACCCACAGAGACACAGAGCTCCTCAGAGCGCCTCTCACCTGCTGTCTGTTAGCTTTCACTCCTAATCAGCTTCAGATGCACACGCACGTGGAACGCAACTATGACTCTATGTGTGCTTAACATGTGCAGTGGCCCCAAAATATATCTGGACACCTGAGGCACACTTAGAAATGTAGAAATGTCAGTGCACTATACTGTATAACAAAATACCAAAAAAAAAAGGATATTTCAAACACACTTTTCAAGTAGAACATTTCACACCATGATGTTGAAAAGTCATAATGCATTTGGAAAAATGCCCAGTATAGTTTGGACTAAATATCTTGTCATATAATGCAGTGACATTAAATCAGATGAAATGCAGTGCGATCAATGAAATCAAAATTGGCCCATTTTTACTTGCTTAATGCATGTTTATGGTCTAATTGTGCATAATTCGGCAGTGCACATTATTGCAAATAGTTCTGTTTATTAATCTGTTTATTTTTTTAATTTATTTTATTCAATTATTTTTTTATTGGCAAGACTAGATAGATGTCCACACACTGAAATTACAGCTTTGGGTTTTGGATGTGCACATCTAATTTATTTATTTATTTTTTATTAAAACTTAAATATTCAACAATAATACAATATTACAGAGGAGTTGATTCAGATTATTGTTGGACTTTAAGTCTTAATCAAAAAAAAAAATACTAAATAGGTTTGCACATACAAAAGCCATAGCTGTAATTTAATTTTTTTATATATATGCTCTTGCCGATAAAACATCAACACATCTAACTTGTATTACTTGCCTCAATTCTGGTATGTAACAGCAACATTCCACAATCCAGACAATTCCCAAATCATTTTTTTAAGTTCAATTTTAATTTTCACTCAAAAATAAGCCTGGTTACAGAAGTGAAATGAGTTATGAACAGCATTTCATGTTGTCCATGACGCCACCATTTAAGATCTCTCATGTCATCTGATCGGCCAGTGGTCAGCTGAGATGGTCCAATCAGCAGTGGTCCTGACCAACTGTATTTACCCTTATTTTGTTGTCATTCCAAACCTGTATGTCTTTCTTTCTTCTGTGGAAGAAAAGCATTGGACTTTTGTTATATGGATATAAACATACAACCTCCTGTGTTCCAGATTTGAAGAAACACAAGGGTTGAGAATATGATGATGGAATTTTAATTTTCAGGTTTGCTGTCCCTTTAAGAAACTTTTCAGGCTGCTTTATTCCTGCAGTACTTGGCAAAGTGTGGGATCATTAATTCTCTTTTTTAACCTTTATTCTCTCTGTACTCTTTCCTCTGTGTCTCTCAGGCGGAGGATGCCGATCTCGTCTCTAACGTGACCTACAGAATAAAAACAGAAGCGGCTCAGCAGCTCTTCGCCGTGAACCGTCTGACCGGCGCCGTATCAGTCCTGCAGGTGTTAGACTTTGAGGACTTGCCAGCAGGCAACAGCACCTACACGTTTGAAGTGGAGGCGTTAGATCACGGAGGAGTCCTTCCTCCTGGAACGGCCACAGTCATCATTAGAATCACGGTAGGGCCGCTAAGAGCGCTCATCAGCTTTAAAAAACTCTGTTTTATCACACCAGTCTCAATAGCAGCACGAGAAACCCTCTTCCTGAGAGTTCTGCAAGTTCCGGTCGGAGATGGTTTGAACTTGGGGAAAGGAAGCCAATTTTCATCAGGTCTAGTGAAGGTGATTGGATTAGATCTTTCAAAGCTCATCCACAGTGTCTACGTGCTAACGCTTCTCGCAGAAGCTCCGCTGACTGTTCCAGTAATGCCTACAAAAGATTTGATCTCTGAATTCAATTAGTCTTGAAAGAGAAACCTCTGTGTTGGCAGGATTGTGGGCGTTGTTTACTGGATCCTCGCCTGCGTTCGCCTGCTTTCCCCGTTGTGATATTTCTGGTTGACGGTGACAGGAGTGACAGACAAAGCTAGGTTCTGATGCTAGCCTGGCACAGCTATTCCAGGCCTGAATGACTCATTAGCTTTGTGACTGCAATTATGTGAGGATTTTAACGCGAGCGCTCTCCATCGCCTCCGAAGATTAGCCGGGGGATCAGAACAGAAGGATTAGCCTCCTCCAGTTTACAGCAGCTGGAGCGAGTGCGAGCGAGTGATGAAACATGAACTTGAACTTCATGTAAAAAGTTCCATTTTTAATTATGTAAATCTGATAGAAATGTTGTGGTTTTCAGCGAGGGTGTATGCATTAGCATTAGTGAACGCAATAGCTAACACAGACTAAAAATGAATACTCTCAGGAAACACTCTCAGAAAAAAGGTACAAAAGCTGTGGGGCGGTATCCTTTTAAAAGGTACATCTTTGTACCTTATTTACCCCTAAAGGGCACATATTAGTACCTAAAAGGTGAATATTAGTTAGGTACTGCTCCAGTGACAACTTTTGTACTATTTTTTTCTGAGAATGTTCAGAATGTAATAATTTTGGAAGTAAACATTATAAGTTAGCATTGTGAGCAACCAATATGCAATGTTATAATTAAACTAATGCAGGGAAAATGAACTTTATTTTTGTAGGTAACATCAGTAAATGCCTGAAAAAGCACACAGACTCGAATCACACCTTTTTGTGTTTTGGCTAGAGAGAGCGACCGACCCAAACAAGGTCGTTCCACACAAGTCCTGCAAGCGGCCGCCAATGGCTCATTAAATCAGTTTTGCTTCCTTTGATCACTCCAGTCTGTACTTGCCAAACTGTGGGAAGTCCAGAGCAAATACATGCAAATGAGCATCGACCCACCTCGCTGCAGGGTCGCTTGCATTTATCAGAATAATCTGTGCTTCTTAAGTTTAAGTTCAAAAGATGCCATTTAACATATTTAAGATGTGCTTCTTTTGTGAAATTGTTAAATGCAATTAATTATTTACATTTTGTATTTCATAGTCAATGTTATTTTAGTATTATTTATTTAGTATTATAATTTTTAATATACTTTTATTTTTATATTTTCAATTTCATTCAAATAATTTTTGTCATTTTGTTATGTGCTTTTGTCATTTTTTTACTAGTAGCATTTAGGTTGCATTTATTTTTATTTTAGTTTTATAGTTCTTTTTAGTTATTTATTTCCGGTAAGTAATTTTAGTGCATTCTATTTTTTCTACGTTTCGTTTCGTTTTTTTGTTTGTTTTTTTTATCTAATATTTATATTTTAATTATTTTCGGTTTAATTTCAGTTAACACAAATGTTTTTCATCGTTTTTTTTTATTAGGTTCGAATCTTAAATTTAAATAGCATTTAAATAATCAATAACTAGATATAAAAATTCTATAAGAATTCTATAATTCCATAAGAAACGTAAGTTGTTACTCAAGAACAGCTTTTTGCATGCTTTCAGAAACAGTGCTTAAATAATGGATAATTTTGACTTTTAAATTCTGATTGACTGATCTGCATGGCCTCTCGTGGCTTATTTCAATTTTATTTTCTATTATTAGACAGTTTTAGAGATCAAATAATAAGCTTTTTTGACCTAATAATTCATGGAAGTTATCAGCAGTATGTGGCACATAGATTTTGGGTTCAAAGATTGTTTCTCTTATTAAAGTGTGTGTTTATAGATCACGGTGACTTATTTCTTATGAGATGAAATTAAACCCCCAGAGATTTTCATGATCTTTGCAGCAAGTGTTTTGTTGTGATGTGAAAAACAAAGCGGTGAATTGTGGTTTTGCTGCTGCTCTCTTCAGATGTGCCTTGAATCTTGAGTTTTTTGCGTTTCGCAGTGATCTTTACCTTCAACTTAGCAAAGTTTGCACCCTGTTAGTTTTGCTGTAATGGAGATGGTGTAACAAATTGTAATGATGCTTGAGCTGAGGTGAAGGCAATATTATTAATGTCAGGGTAGAGTCATCATAGCTGGGCTTATGGAAGATTTCGAAGGTCTTGCAGGGAAAGATACTTTTCTCCTGACTATCAGGCAAAGTGTGGTTGTGTGTGTGGGCATATCCATCTGTGGCCAAGACCCCTAAGAACATTGAGAAAGGGTCACTTGACCCCTCTGAATAGTTGCAGGGTTGTTTCGATCTTGTGTGTGTCTGTAGCCCTCGTCCTCTTGACTCAGAGAAGAGCAGCTTGCAGCATATAGATCCACATCTCGTCTGCTGTAGTTTCAGCCACTTGAGCTCATGCTGAGGTGAAAGGTTAGGGTGTATCGATGTGCATTTCAGGTGGGTAACTCCCAATGAGGAGAATATCACTGAACTGAATATAACAGCAGCTTCTCTCTGAAGCATACTATTGAAATGTCATGTCTCTCAGAGGTTCGGTTCCAAAACCTAGCTTGCCTAACAGCAATGAAAATGAAACCTCATAAATGGCAATGTTAACAGTTGGTGTGTATATACAGTGGGTACGGAAAGTATTCAGACCCCCTTAAATTTTTCACTCTGTTATATTG